GCATCTGCTTTTCTTATTGCAACAGAATCACACAGTCTAGAGCAGCCAGACGCATTAACGGGTCCGTAGGTTTATTATTCAGTGCGGTTATCATGATGCACGACCTTCACGAATATCGTGTCTCATTATCTGAAATAATTGCACAAACATGCATTCGTGACCATTCAACAGTGATACTACAATGTTCTTTGCTAAACGAAGTTTTTCTCGTATTTCGACTACGTTGCCACAGACATACCAGTATTTTCGAACATTTATCTACTGTCAAACTGTATGTAACGAACTATAAAATCTTTTTCAATCATATGTATTAAACATTTGCACTCGACGATTTTTTAGCTAAAGAAGAGTAGGAGATCGAAGATTTTCTGCTATAAAGTTGATGATATTTTTTTGAGCAGTAAATAAGGAATAGTATAATAATTGACACGTAGAATTATTTGATTTCGATACCTTGCATACCGTTACATTATCTTAAATTTGACATATTAATTAATACCGATCTTCGAAATTTTATCAAATGGCGACTAAAAGGCGCCCTCGAGTGCAAGTCGAATCATTGTTTTTTCATTACATATCTTAATTATGATATTTAAAACGACCTGATGTAAATAATTAAGTATTTCTTTTTAATTATGTATTTCCATAAATATTATAGTTACAATGGACTACTATAAACGATGAAATACTTTCTTTAATTAGATATTTTAATAATTATTATATTTAAAATATTTTATTGCATGTAACGAAACAATTCTTTGAATAATCTATTATAATTACTATAAATAATCCAACGATCCTTATAACGCTAAAATAATAACATAACATAACAATTAATCATTAACGGGATAAATTAAATTATAAAGTAATAAATTAATTATGTAGTTAACTAAGATTTTGGGACTCGTAATTCTGTTAATATATACATAATAAATAAAAACACTGAAGTGTCATGTGTACATTTCTTAAGTTCCATACCACATGTAGAAATTTCTTTTTAAATTTCGTTACTTCTATCAGTTGATAGAAACGAGAATTTTCTGAAAAGTCAATATGATACAACCCTATATTCATACAACAGAATAAAAATGAAATAAAATATTTTTTTATTTCGTCTGTGTATTAATTCAATTTAGATTGATTTTATAAAAACTTCTATTTGTTTTACGTTTATCTATTTGTCTATTTATTTTTATCGGATATATGTATTTACATAATATGTAAATATCATATATAAATATGTTGAATAAATATGTTTACTTTAAAATCTTCGTTATTTTCATTTATAACATATATATTTAGAAAAATAATTCTCAATTTCTAATCTATTATATAAGTAATGTTACTTATAGCTATAAAAGTATTTCTAAACGAAATCTAATAATTTAATTTGTTTAGTTTAAAACAAACTTAATTGTTTAATTTAAATCGTTATAATATTAATTTAAAAAGTGGCAATGACCTTCTAATGGAAATAAAATTATGTGTAGACTAAGACAATTATAAAAAAATAACAAACAATAACAAACCCCATAAATTGTCGTGTATACCACATGAAAAAGATTATTTTATCCAATGATACATACACAAAATTTGTATACTTTTAGAAAATCACAAATTTTTAGTACATCATAATATCGTTATTACTGTCATTGATCTAATTTCGTAACTTAATAAAAACACGAATAAATTTTACTCGCGTAATTTACGAAACGTTAATAATACTTTTAATTTTCTTGTACACCGATGAAGGGATTTTAGAATCGGTGCTTTAGCATATTCCGTGAAATAGTATGCATTGTTGCAGGGATGCACGTAGAACGATAAAATGTTCTGTAAATAATCCCCGCGTGTGAAAAGTTTAGTAGCAAAGTCTCATTATTCGAAGTAATTATGGCTCCATGCATTTCCGCGTACCCGACTGCGACGTTGTTAGACCGTTCCAGTAATGTACGGTACATATGTGCCGTGTACTGTGCGTACACTCGTTAATAAAACAGCATTAACTATGTTGGCCAGTACGGTTCAATCGCTCTTCAGTGAATTAGCAGGAACACGTCCATTACAAACGCGCAAACGCGAAGGCATCGCTTCGTTTGCGTGTGAGACTCGTAGAACACAGCGGCAAACTTTCATGTCAATTTTATTACATTAGCTTTACCTTCGTAGATTCGATCGCTTTAAAACAACATATTTCGGTATACTGTGACTGACGTTCAAGAAGCGGCGATGCTTCTTCGATACCATCAAGCACGACATCAAGTTATCTAATAGTTCCAAATTGAACATCGATTCTAGAAAATTGAAAATTGAAAATTGGAAATAAAAAAAAATTAAAATTGAATCTCAGAAAGTGAAAGTTGAAGTTTGAAAATTAGAAGTTGGAAATTGAAATAGTATAAAATAATACCAATATAATTAGTACAAAATCTTTTTTTGCCATAATACTAGTTTAACAGTGGTTAAAGTACTTTTAAATTTATAATATAACGTAAACAGAGATAATAAGTAATATAAAATATGAAAATTCATTAAATATTTGTTTAGCCAAAAACAGTTGGTAAATGTGCATATATAAAAAATTAAATTGTTCATATTAAAAATTTATTTAAACTTATGCCTTACGGATTTACTACTTATAAAATGTTCATAATATCTTGTAGTTGGCAAAATAATATTCTCTCTCAAAATTATTCTTCCATACTGTATATTCATATTTTTAATCTGTTATTTATTATTTATTTATTCTAATTTCTCTATTTTCATGGAAAAATGCGTGCACATGTATTATGGTTTTTATAAAAAGCAGATACATAGTTATGTACTATCGATTTTATGTCAACCAATTTTTCCAGTTTACGAATCTTCCTTACTCAGTCGTTGTTTAAACAGAATATGCCATTTACTATATTCACATGACCTCACTTTAGATTATGTTATATTATTTAAGTTGAACTAACACGACAAATTTCTGTATTTCGATATTTAAATTCTCTGAAATGAAGAATGTGCAAGTTCTACTTCCTTGCATTCTAAATATACTTATTTTTATATTATGGTATAATATACGTGTCTCATAATTAATATATATTTCACGTTTGCTGCTGTTGCAACCAAAAATGAAATAAAGATATAAAAACGGAAATATTTAAAACGAGTTTATGTGATTTTAAAATTATTTGCATTAATTAATAGCACATGTCACTATAATCATTTTCAAAGACATTCTAGTTATATAAATATTTTTTACATATTCTTGCCATATTTAATTCTTTTAATGAAATGTTGTCATAAACATCAAGAAATATATCTTTAAATAGATGAAAATAATAAATATTTGAAACGTTTATTATAATTTTTTAACATAATGATAATTTAGATACGTACAACTCATTATATATCAATGTGACATGTGTTTAGATCATCTTTTCGTTAGTCTTCCTCTTTTTCTAGCTTCTTCTTTGAAAAGACTAGTGAATAAGTAAACACAAATATGAATTAAAACTTCGATAATTAATTTCAATACAGTAACACTGTTTCATACTATTATTTCGTCGAAATGTGATTTGATCATTGCTCTTCTTGTTTCACCAAAGTTAGTATTAACGAGCATTTGGCAATTTTTGTTCTCGCAATTCCTCAATCCCAGCTCACGTCGGTCAAACAAACACAGCGAATGAGAATTAGCGAAAGAATGAAAACATTGCTACTCGAATTCGAAGCCGGCCAAATGAGTTATCTTTTTCATTAAGAGAAAATTAAATTCCTGTAATTCGTACGTTTCCTCGATGAAAATCTATTGTAACGAGTTATTCATGATATCCTCATTAGTTACTTGACTCAACTCTTTTGCTAGTTAAAACGATGATTTATGGTTTCTTGATACCAAACGTTTAACATCGCATAACATTGGCTTTATTTATTTCACTTGAATTTACTGTATTTAATTTTTCGGTGGGAACTGGACTTAGGAAATATCAGGTCATCGTTTGGACTAACTGAGAACTAATTGTAAGACTATTTGTTAGTATTTAATTTTTAAGCGGGAACTGGGCTTAAGAAATATCAGGTCATCGTTTGTACATACTGAGGAGTAATTGTAATACTAACAAAGAAAGTCATTGGACAGTAAAATTAAAAAAATTATAGAATATTTAGAATATGTAGATCACACGTAGGTGTATCAAACGAATTTTTTTGTTGTTTTATTATCGTCCAAATTTAAATCAAATTCACTCCAAGAGGCTACAATCAAATCATAAAGGTTTGATTACACTGTCCAATAAATTCTAATTTTTTCTCTAATCTGCAATATGCAATAAGTGGTTTTCGTAGAGCCTACTTTCTTGAATAAACATCCGTAATCAAAATTGTTTTATCGCCAACAGTTCTTGAAAAATGTGAGTTCTTCTAAAAAATCACGATTTTTATATAAAATGAAGTATTACATAAAAAGTAAGAATATTAGGAAGTTCATTGTTGTTTCACAAATTAGGTGAGACAAAAGAAGTGTTTTAAGACAAAATCTATTTTATTTTATTATATATATAGCAATGTATAAATGATAGATCAATTGTTAAAAAAAAGCACAAAAAATTAAAATTTTATAGTTTTTCGACTTCTACAGTAGAAATCAAATTCTTTAAATGTATCATATAATGAATTTGTTTCTTTGCATCAATCTAATAACAATCACGATATCGATATTTTTATAAATATTTCTGTTAATTTCAAAATTGCTAAAATTATTAAAACTATTAGTATTTCAATTAAATTAAATTTTATTAATCTTCGTTTATCAGTCACCGATAATTATGGGGGTGCCATTGGCAAACTGAATGCTGCCATTATTGTTTTCTACGATATTCAACGTGTCGACACTAACGTCTTATCATAATTTCCATACTTGTTTGAATAAACGTGTCAAAGTATTTGATATAACGAAATATTTTAGTTGAAATTCGGTTTAAAATTGTGTATAAAATATTCATGCAAAGTACCGTTTTTTGTAATTTCCTTATTCTCTCTCGTCCAATAGTTGATCGACTCTGGAAAAGCTTCAGAATTGCACTCCAAGGTCATCCTTTGCCCCTCCTGTGCTCCAACTAATTGATTCTGGATCGAAATCATTGGGCTAACTGTAATCAAAAATTAAATTTGATTTACTGCATAGAATATCAAACACTGCATGCGTAAAGTTACAATATTCTATACAAACTATCATAGAGAAAGATACTCACAGTGGACTGTAAGCATTATTCTCTTACTGACAGTCGGTGGTACTCCATTTGAAGCGATGCACAGGTATGCGCCCATCTGTGATCGATTTATCTTCGTGATATTGAAGACCGATCCCTCTACAAACCTCACTGTAACAAAACCGAATTATATAAGACGTTTATATAAAATTAAAATTCAATAAAAAATATTAAATTAAGAAGTAGAAAATAAAATTTCATAATATTAAGTGTTAAAATTACAATTTTATGTAATTTTACACTGTTCAACACGAATTTTGTTCTGTAATATCCATCGGGTAATTGTTCTAGAGTTTATTTTTCTGAACACGAATCCATAATCGAAATTGCTCCATCATCTACGTCCTCGAAAATTCTGAATTTCTCTAAAAACACACGATTTTTGGCTAAAATGATGTATTACATAAAACGCGAGAATGTTAAAAGGTTCATTTTTATATTAAAAATTAGGTTAGATTATTTTGAATTTATCAGTGTTCATAATTATAATTATTTGTGCTTCTGAATAACAATAATTGAAGATCAAAGTTTAAAAATAAACCGCTGAGCACTTTTAGTGCATTTGCAACGCATTCTTCCATTTTTACAAAAATTCCTTTATCTGACACGAATTTGCTACACAGTATCGTATTGTGTAGGCCTTTTTGAAGAAGCAACCGTGGAATAGAATTGTCGAAACAGTTTTCAATTCCATTTAATCGAGAAAATATTCGTCCGTAACGTGTATACGGGGTTTTACAGGCACGTAACCATTGCTCGCTTTTCTATCCTCGACAGTGCCGTAACTACGCGTAATCCAAGTGCAATGGAGCTAACATATAATGTGGATAAAAATGAAAACCAATTTCTTGTACGTTTTTTAACAGTTAACAAATTAATATATTTATATAATAATATTTAAATATTGACATCAATTCGCAATATAATATTTTGAACAAAAAGATTCACATTACCTAGAAAATTCTTCTCTATCTCTCTCTCTTTCTCACTCTTATTAACACATATTTACTATTTGACGATTCTCACATAACTGTTCCATTCTGGCACATTCTTCTAAACATTTTTTAACAACATTCATATTAGATTCCACTCGCTCATATTATATTTATATCATCTCAAATGACATTCATTTAGTACCTCATTATCATTTACACATATAAAATCTACACTCATACTCTCATAAAACCAATACTCACATATAACAGTTTACGAAGAGAAAAATACAATACATTATGACTATGCAGCAAACGACGTAAGTATATGTCTAGAGATAGGGTGGGACAACACGAATAATACTAAAACTATTTATTAATCCTAACAACACGTTTATACTTCGCAACACTAATACACCTTTTTTCACAACTCTCTCTCTGAACTCTCCTATACTACACGTACCGCGACCGATTCTACACCCTCTCTCTCTCTCTCACTGCCCACTCACGCCCTTACATCCCTATTTAAAACCATCCATTCTATCCTCTTTCATACCTATTCTCTCTTTCCAATCACACTTTCCCACGCACTCCTCGCAATCTTACCCTCAGCGGGTCACTCAGCCCAAACACTCAAACGCATTCCTAAAGTCACTCGATACATTCATAAACATCCCGTTCACACGATCCTAGCGCACGATCATTCATCCTTTCGCACGCACTCTAGATAACCCGCTCATCCTGCGATACCACATATGCATTTTTGTATTTAAAACAGTGTTATTTATATATTGTCTTGATTTTGGATTGTGATTTTCATACTATCCAAATTCTAAACAACCCATCACATACTAATTAATGACGATTTTAGTGAAGATAAATAGTTAATATAAATGTTTTCGTACAATTACTGTGTGTTTTTTTATGTTATTGCAGAAATAGCAAAGCCTTACAAAAAAGTATTGTCTGAAATATGCCACAAAATATATTACATCGTATGAATCCTTTTAGTAAGTAAACTGAATATACCCCTAATGCAACCCGCTGATACGGCTCTAATTCCTTCAAGAAGATAGATAAGTATAAAATTTCAAGCGACATTCGATCATCGCTATCTACGATTTTTGTCTGAAAACTTAGGAAAGGTAACAGGAGTACAGAATGTGCGAGGAGATCGTCGAAAAGCTCCTCATGACGTCACATACGAGGACAGATAGAGATTAAAAGAGAACAGCGAAACTTCGGTAGCGAAAAAATAATAAATTACTCAATTTCTGCAATTAACTATTCTGTTCTATGGTTTCTTTTACACAAAAGCCTAGAAAATAAGCTACTGTGTAGCAAAATCCTGTCAAATAAAGAACTCTTTGTAAAAATGCAGGAATATGCGTAGAATTGCTTAGTGTTCGATTGCTTATTTTTAAACTTTGATGATTGTTAAAATTATTGAGAAGCATAAATAATTATAACTATGGAGATTGATAAACCCAGGATATTCTCACCTAACATGTAAGACAGCAATGAACTTTCAAATGTTCTTACTTTTTATGCAATACTTTATTTTAACCAAAAATTGTGCCTTTCAGAAACACTCAAATTTTTCGAAAGCTGAGGGTGATGAAGCAATTTCGATTACGGATTCGTTTATTCGTGGACGGAATTATTTTTGCCAAACATTTCGGGTAATATTTGTCATCGGTAAATTGTTAATAACAGAGATGAAGCTCTTCGTACACTAAAATACAGATATGGAAACGTTTGGTTAAGTTGTATTCGAATAGCAAAGTTTTTGAACGTAAACGATATGTTCAAATACAAGCAAGTACTCCATGCGGTTCAAAGTTGCAAAACTTTTGAGGAGCAAGAGGATGTTCAGTTACGTTCCTCGATGTAACTCTCTAAACTTCTCTTTGCTTCAGCCGAATGGGTTTTAATCAATTAAGTACTAAACTGAAAGTTTTTGCAATTTTTCATCAACAATGAAATCAATTTTCATCAACAATGAAATTGTTTCGATTGTGTCTTTCTGTCCTGTAGGTTTTATTTCTAGACTGTATTTTTGTCTTTGCGTGTTGCAGTAGACGTCTATAAAATGGAAATTTGCCTTTCCAATCTCTAGGTAATTACAGTCATTATTTGAATCCTTTTTCCTATTTTATTCTGTACACTGAGACTGGAGTCATTATATGTTAGTAATATTTACGAAGAAAAAATAAATATGAAATTAAAGTAAGTGGTAAAGATAAAGTAATAGAGAAATAATAAAAAGACGAAATTTTATTATTATATTACTAAGAATTTTTTTTGGAAGGATTGTCAAATTATTTTATTGTTTCAATTATTTTGTATTCCATCTGCATTATATCCTTATTTTATTCTATATTGTATAATTATTTTTGAGCACTGTTTAATGTATTTGAAAAAAATAAAAAATATCTTGCTCTCTTTTCGGTTTATTAATCTGACCCACAAAGAGTTATTAACATTACAGATTTTGTTTAATCAATGTTTAATAAAACTGTGTCGATTAAATAACAAATTTTTAAACTTTTATCATTTACTTCCAATTTTTAACAAAATTATGTCAATTAAGCAACGAATTTTAAAACCTTTATCCTTTATTTCCAACTTTTAATACAATTATGTCAATTAAATAACAATTTTTTAAACTTTCATCATTTATTTTAAATTTTTAGGTATTTAAAGACATTTAATAATTGCTATTATGTTCTGTTAAAGCTTTCAGTATTTTCCAAGTACCTACATTAGTTTAATTCCACACAAACCAGTATAAAAACAGAAGAAAAGTCAATAAGATCTAATAATTCTTCAACACTAAACCTACCACGACCAGTAAAATGATCTATAAATGGAAAAATGAAAGAAGAACGTAAAAAGAAACTAGAATGAAAGAACGGTCACTTAGAATTTAATAGGTCTCGTATTAAAACAGATTCTTTGAAAAAACGGAGTCTCGGATAATACCTCATTTTACATCTTTAATTAAATTTTGCCTGGGATATCATTTAATTTTTACCTACATCACCATCGCAACCATACTCTATATGGTGGCTCCTTTAACTTTATTTAGTAAAATATTTCAATTGTTTTGAAGAAGAAGCTGCAGTTCCCCAGATGGAACTTTTATATTCAAAAGAGTCTATATTATGGGTGATAGAATGTGTACTTTAAGGTAATTCTCTTCCAGATTTCAAAATCGTAGTTCACTATTTTTGATAATACGATTCACTTTAGTTATGTAATACTTTAGGCAGTGTCATGGGAAATTTACTAACGTATAATAAAATTTCACAAATTTTGTGTCTTTTAAACTGCACGCATAACCCACGAGAATCATGTAACATATGACTCTACGCGTTGTACGAATCTACGGTGGTATATGTGTACATATGTTCTAACATAGTCGTACATTCTACACAGCATTTACATATTTGCAGACGTCCTAGTTAGCTGTGTAAATAAAAAATTGAAATAACAGTTGCACAGTATTAAATTAGGAAATGCAGGGTTGTTTTCTCCGTTTGTTTGCAATATACAGGATTCCTCTGGAAAACGTATATCACTGCCGTTTCTATTACTAATGATGTATATTTAAGAATAAACTGTTTATGCAGATACATGCAGAATATTATTCAGGTCTATGCCTTGTACGCGAAATTTTGTAAAGTTAAACTTCGAATATAGGTAGTATAGTATTATAAATTGTTAGACAGAAGAATCTTTTCGTATGAATTATGGAAAAGAAAGATAATTAACATATTGTAGGATTTTTGCTAAATCTCTATCAGATAGAGATCTGCGCGTCTAACAAACAACAATTCCTTTTTAATAACAAAACAGATTTATTTAATTAAAGTATTACACTAAGTTCCTCTCAATTCTAACTCTCAAACACACCATTTTGACTACACATATTCTGACTTCTGTCTTCTCTACCTTTTGCCTTCTCTGCGCTCTTGCATCCTTATTTAAAGTCTAACCCTCTTTCTTTTCATACACAAGCTCTCTTCGTTGATCACTCATTTCCCACGCAACCTCGCCTTTGGTGATCCAGGTACTTCAGACATTCGGACATATACAACATTTAATATGACAATAAAATTGAAAGCAGCTAAATAACTTGAGAAGCATTGTACAATTTCCAAGTATCGAATTAAA